TGCGGGTCAGGGGGACCGGAGGGGGGTGCACGGGGAGGGGGGCCAGGGCCGTCGAGCTGCGAGGAGCAGGAGTCACAGGGGCGTCCGAAGTGTGAGACCGAGGGCTGGATGGGACGCCCAGAAGGGCGGGGGTGGACTTGGGTGCCGTGGCCGGGACATCCAGCCCGGGCCGGTCCCGCATGGCTCACGGGGCTGCCCTGGGACGGCCGCACTTCGGCCCAGAGGCCAAGGCCAGAGGCCCCGTGGGGCCAGGGAGCGGTCCCTCTGGGATGACAGCCCTGTCCACTACCCTCCAGCGGGCCTCCCGCCCCTCAGGGGCTTCCCTGCAGCCAGGCTGAAGGCCTAGGGCCAGGTGGTCAGCAGCAGGGCCTGCGAGGGCAGCAGCGCCCCACAGAGGTCCCTGGGCGAAGTCTCCGGAGGGAACCCCAGGGTGGAGGCAGGCCGAAGACCCTGCCCCTCCCTTGGCCAGGCGGACCCCCACTCTGGAACGTGCCTGGAGCGTCTGTTTCGTAGGTGAAGGACTCTCCCCCTCAACTCTCCAACCTTCCTTCCCAGTTCTGGGGGTCCGGGCCATCCCCTCAGTACCTCGTCAGTTCCTTCAAGGGAAGTTGGGCAGCTCCCAGGCCCCAGGGGCACCAAGCCTGAGGCCCCAGATGCAGCTGTTAGTAACCTCTCTCTTTCCTCTTTCCTTTTTCCCTTCCTCCCTTCCTCCCTCCCCTTCCCTCTTCCTTCCTTCCTTCCTTCCTTCCTTCCTTCCTTCTTCCTTTCTTCTTTCTGCATTGGCACAATCACAGCTCACTGCAGCCTCGACCTCTTGGGCTCAAATGATCCTCCTGCCTTAGCTTCTCAAGTAACTGGTGGGATTGAAGCCACCACACCCTAAAGGCAGCTGTGGTCACAAATGGGCCCTGTTGCCGGGACAGGCAAGAGAAAGTGGGTCGGAAGGAGGGACCCGGGTTGCCCCAGCCTGTACTTCTGCCTGCTTCAGCCCTGGCCCCAGTTCCCCCCAACTGCTCTGGCTTCTGCATCCTGGGACAGGAAGCCCTGGGCCCGGTGAAGCTTGCTCAGACCATGGGACCCAATAGGCTTAAGCCGGACTCCATTCTCCTGCTCCCTGGGGCTCAGCATTGGTAGGCTGCACATTTAAAAGGGCTGTAGAGCCGGGCTCGGTGGCTCAGCCTGTAATCCTGCGCCTTTGGGAGGCTGAGGTGAGTGGATTGCCTGAGCCCACGGGTTCAAGACCTGCCTGGGCAACTTGGCGAGACCTCATTTCTACAATAAATGAAAAAAAATTAGCCGGGCGTAGTAGCATGTGCCTGTAGTTCCAGCTACTTGGAAGGCTGAGGCGGAAGGATCGCCGGAGCCCAGCAGGTCGAGGCTGCGGTGACTGGGAGTGGCCACTGCACTCCAGTATGGGCGACAGAGTGATACTCCAACTCAAAAAAATAAAATAAAATACAAGGGCTGTAGCCCATGGAAGCAGGACCAGTAAGGGACCTTCAATTAAAAACAAAATAAATAAATAAAAGGGCTCTAGCTGCCAGGCACAGTGGCTCACGCCTGTAATCCCAGCACTTTGGGAGGCCGAGACGAGAGAATTGCCTGAGTCCAGGAATTGGAGACCAGCCGGGTCAGTATGGTGAGAACTTGTCTCTAGAAAAAATAAAAAAATATTAGCCGGGCATGGTGGCACATGACTGTAGTTCCAGCTGCTTGGACGGAGGCCGCGGCTGCAGAGGCCATGAGTGTGCCAGCACACTCCAGCCTGGGAAACCGAGTGAGACTCTGACTCAAAAAAAAAAAAAAAAAAAAAAGAGGGGGCTATACAGCCTGGGGAGAAACTAAAGGAAACAACCACAGACAATAAAAACCAACAAAGCTTATCAAAACAAGCAGGCTTCAGACCCAGGCAGCAACCTGGCTCTTTTCTGAGTCCACCCAGACATGGCTTCCTGCCTCCCGGCATCCTGCTGGACCAGGACTCCCAGTGGCTGTGGCAGGCTGTGCCCCACCCACCCACTGCACATGCCTTGTATCCTGGGGCTTTCTGCTGTGGCACCCACACACAGGCCGCTGTGTCCAGGCTCCGGCGTGACGGTGGATGCAGGAATGGATGGTGGAAGGTGGTGAAGACGGGAGTGGGGCCAAGGCCCAGGCCCAGCTGGGGGGCTGACACAAAGCCCACCAAGAACCCTCAAATCCCACCCCGTGGGCCCGCAAGCGTTTCAAGCACATTGATGTCCCTGTGTGCCTGTGGGAGCATTTGACGGTGGCTGTAGGAGCCTCTCAGAGGGTGGCTGGCTCTGAGGCCCCCTGGGACAGTGACGCCTTCCCCCCACCCCAGCACAGACCCACGCATCTGTCCACCCCTTGAGTCTTGCTTGGTGACCCTTCACCCATCTGCTCACTCCTCACGGCTTTCCCAGACTTTCTAGGCCTTCTCGGGTCCCAGCCCCAACAGTGCTGCTCCTGGCCTCTTGGCAAACGCCCCAAGTAGCCACAGTCCCACAGCACCCCTGAAGCCCGGTGCCTGCCTCACCACTCAGGGTGTCGCGCTAACGGCCTGTGCGGGTGTCCTTGCCTGGGGCTGCACTGGCTTTGGCCTACCCCAGGGTTCGAGCCCACCACAGCTGGCCCAGGCCCCACGCGCCTGCAGCCCTGGCCTCCTGGGAGGGGAGCTTGCTTCTGAGCCTCTCCTGCTCTCGGCCCATCTCTCCCTGCTGCCAGTCTCCTGGGGACTGAGAGACTCATCTGCAAGGAGCTTCAGCTCCCTTGATGCCGACGCTCCAGCCGACGCCTGCCTACTAAGCACCTGCCCTGTGCCCAGCCTGGGAGCTTGGGATACATTCGTGAACATGGCCTGGCTCTCGTGCCATGTTGTTGAGTGTGCACATTTATCTTGTCTCTGTCGCACCCTGCTCCATTTTCCCAGCTTTATCACAGCTGTGACACCGCAGATGGCCACCATCACCAAATGTCATCCCTCACACCCCTCCTGACGGCCCCACAGACCCCCAGCCCTCACACATTCCCCTCTGTGTCCTGAAAAGTCCCTCTCTCCTAATCCAGACCCTCTTTAGCCATGATATGTTCACCGTGACAACTTCCTAGCCGGACCCGTTGGTGCGGCTCCCCCCAGGAACAGCTGGACCGGCCTTCTGAGTTCTGTCCTGACCCCTCCTCTGCTCCATGCCTCCGCTGGCCAGCGGCCCCCCACCATCCCCAGAATATTGTTGCAGAACTAGGAACTTCCAGCTCTTTTTCATGAGGGCACGTGAAGAGCTAGGAGGACATCAAGTCAGGATTACAAGCCAATGCCAGGCCAGACTTGCTTCTCGGGGCAGGGCAGGGGATGGACGTAGATGCATCCGGCTGTCGAAAAGAATGTTACTATTTATAAAACGCTTAGAACGCTGCTTGGTGTATAACCAGGTTTTCTTAAAAGAAGTCCAACCTCTTAAGCATATTGAGAGAAAAAAAAAATCAAACGCATGATGCATGTGAAGTTATTTTTTTGAGTTGGAGTCTTACTCCATTGCCTAGGCTGGAGTGCAGGGGCACGCTCATGGCCACCGGTCTCGACCTGCTGGGCTCAGGCAATCCTTCCTTCTCAGCCTTCCAAGTAGCTGGAACTACTGCTGTGCACCATCACGCCTAGCTAATTTTTTTGATATACTGTAGAGACAAGGTCTCACCAAGTTGCCCAGGCTGGTCTTGAACCCTGGGCTCAGGCAATCCTCTCGCCTCGGCCTCCCAAAGTGCTGGGATTACAGGGGTGAGCAACCATGCCTGGCCATGACACCCTATTTCCAGCCAGCCATTCCTCTAGGTTCTCGAGGAACTTGTCAGGCAGGACCTGGGTCTGGAGGGGCCGGAAAGGGCTGGCGTGGCAGGAGCAGAGGTCTTGGCTCTCCAGGATGCAGCAGCATGCCCGGTCCCTCTTCCTCACATGGCATCCAGAGTACAGAGTCAGAGTTTCTGTGGGGATTGGCATCCAACCCTCCCTGAGGCTGAGCAGGCATCCTCTGGGCATTCAATGTCTCCTCACTATGCCGGACACAGAGACTGGTCTTATGTCAAGCTGGACTGGAGTCAGCCTGACACCCACACCAAGTCTCTCCTGACTGTTCTGTGCCGACCTCTCTCCTGAAAACTGTTCCCCACAGGACAGTTCAACATGTCCTCACTTGCCCAGACCCTTGGGGTGCCTTCTCCCCACAGTTCTGGATGCCCCGGAAGCCTTTCCTTTCCCAAGAAAGTGGGTCTGAAGCAGGCAGCCTTGTGAGTTTCGAGGCCATGGTCTGGCAAGTCATCTGCGAGGACACAGAACATCTGGCCAATGCAGCAGCGTGCAAGTTCCTGGATGCCTCATGACCCAAGGCCGTGCCGAGGGCGGCGTGGGCCCTCCAGGTAACCCTGGTCCTCCACTCCCGCCACAGCACATCATCCCAAGGATGCTGAACTGAACCTTGCTGGTGCAAGAGATTACTCTATGCCACTGGCCTTTACAGCGAGGCCTTGGCCGACATACAATGCCACCCAGCCCCTGCTCCAGAGTCCTTGAGCCAAGTCCCCAGGACCCAACCGCGCCCACAGCGCGTCAGGAGGGGCTTGCCGCAGGGCCAGACTGTGGGAATGTCACAGCGGCCTCGGCCATCTGAGGCCCAGAGGACAATGAGCCCCTGCAGGCCCCAGCAGGCATCCAGGTCAGAAGATCTCCGGTATTCAGGGAGGGGGTAGAACTGGCGTCAGGACTGAGTGTAAGCGCCCTGAGCAAGGGGGGCTGATGCCCGCTGGAGTCCAGGCAAGCTCGAAGCCATGACACAGGACTCCACACAGAGTGACACGTTGCTGGCAGAGCTCCAAAGGGCAGCACGGGAAGTGCAGAGCCCGCCGCTCAGCCCAGTGAGGGAGCTCTTGAGCTCTGGTCCGTCTTCTAGAAAAAGCTCCGTCCTCCCACATGCATGGCCATGACACGACGAAGCAGGAGTCAAGGCAGCACAGCCGTTTATTAAGTCGGTAGAAAAGCGACCGTACAGACTTAAGGTGCGGGGATGGAGACGGGCAGATGGGCCCAGCACCCGAGGCCCTGCGCCGCTCGAGTGCCGGTCCAGAGCCCAGAGCGTGGGCCGCACGCGTGAGCTCTCTGGACGCCAGAGGGCCGACTAAGTGGCTGCCCCCGTGGGGGGCACTGGACTTGCCCAGCAGCTGGGCCTGAAGAGAAGAAGCCGCCAGAGCTGGGCCCGGCTCTAGAAGCGGCCCAGCACGGTGGCCAGCAGCGCCATGCGGATGTACATGCCGTTCTCAGCCTGGCGGAAGTAGGCGGCCCGCGGGTCGGAGTCCACCTCCACGCTGCAAAAGGAGGACGGGAGTTGGCTTCCTGGAAGCGCGGGCAGCCCGCCCAGGACGCCCAGCCGGCTGCCCTCGTGGCTCACCTTATCTCGTTGACTCGGGGCAGGGGGTGCATCACCACCATCTTCTTCTTGGCCCGGGTCATGATGTGCGGCGTGAGGATGAACTGACCAAAGCACTGTGGGCGACGGGCCACTGTGAGGCTCGGGCGGGGTCGGAGGACACGGCCGGGCTCCCACGGCCTCCGCCCTGCCCAGTGACAGCTGCAGGGCAGGTGAGGCCTCGGCCCTACCCAGCTTCCTGCGCGTCTCCCTTCTCAGGCACATGCGCCGATCAGGGCGCACTCACCGCCTCATACTCCTGGGCAGAGCCAAACCGCTCCTTCTGGATGCGAGTCATGTACAGCACATCGGTGTCGGGCAGTGCCTCCTCGATGCTCTCGAAGTCCTCCTGGGGTGAGACCGGCCGCAGTGAGCAGCGCCGGCAGCCCGCAGCCCCAGTCCTGGCCCCGGCCCCAGCCAGCAGGGTGGAGGGTCTCACCTGCTTAGTGCCCCGGGCGTCCACGAAGTCCCGCACGCTGGGTGGCATGCGCAGGCTGGGGGGCGCCACGTAGCGCAGGCTGACGCGGTACTGGGTGAGCAGGCAGGCCAGGGAGTGTACTGTTCGGCCATGCTTCAGGTCTCCCACCATCGTGATCTGCGGAGAGGCCGGTCACAGGGCCTGGCCCAGTGCCCTCCTCCCCCACGCCACAGAGCTCAGCCTGCCGCCTCCAGGCATGTCTGCGTGGGGCCCCACCCACAGTCCCCTCCAGCAGCGGCCCTGGGGCCCAGCCACCCCGGCCTCACCGTCATGCCGTTGACTGTGCCCAGCTCCTCACGGATGGTGAAGATGTCCAGCAGTGCCTGGGTGGGGTGCTCTCCCACTCCGTCCCCAGCGTTGATCACGGGTCGCCGGCAGTGCTTGGCCGCCAGCTGGGAAGCAAGCACAGTGAGAGTAGCTTGCATCCGCCCAGCTCCTCTCCGGGGGTTGCCACTCTGCCCCACCCTACCCCCTTCCAGGTCCCTGCCTGGGCTCCACCTCTGCCCCCTTCCAGGTCCCTACCTGGGCCCCGCCCTCTCCTGCCACCCCAGGCCCTGGCAGCCTCACCTCCACCGCCCCGGGCTGCGGGTGCCGGAGCACAACCACATCTGCGTAGCAGCTCATGGTCTGCACAGAGTCCGCCAGGGACTCGCCTTTCTGGACGGACGACGTGGCCTCAGAGAAGCTGAGCACGGCGCCCCCAAGCCGGGCCATGGCTGCTGCGAAGGAGCTGCTGGTGCGCGTGCTCACCTCGTAGAACATGGAGGCCATGACCTTCCCCTGAGAGGGCGGGGAGCAGCTCAGAGTGCTTCGCCTCAGGGAACACACGGTGTGCCCCCCACGAGGGGCGCTGTGAGGACCCTTCTCCCCCAGACCTCCCCAGGACCCGCTGGAGCCCTGAGCTTCCGTCGGTGTCAGGAGCTAAAGGCTTTGCCCCCAAAGGCCGCCACAAGGCGTGAGTGCCGGTGAGACAAGGACACGCCCACGCTCTCCTGCACAGCACAGGTCCAACAGCCCAGGGGGTGGCTGCTGGGTCTCGCTGCCACACTGGAGCCCTGCCATGGGAGGGAAGGCCTGGGGAAGACCCAGAGCAGCAGAGGCCATGTTGGACAGCGAGGGCAGGACCCATACACTGGGACCCCGCCACGGCCCGGCCCCAGCCCCAGCCCCAGCGCCGACCTTGAGGATGTCCAGGCTCCGCTCCTTCTGCACCATCATCCGCAGCGTATGTGCCACGTTGAACAGGTGAGACATCTAGGGAAGGCCCTGCATCAGCTGAAGGCAGCGGACGGCAGGGCATGGCCCCGCTTTCCAAGCCCTCGGGGCTCTGGGCGTCCCCAGTCTCCCGGCCCCAGGCACCTGATCCTTGGTGAACTGCTGGACGGACAGGATATGTTGGCCCACCAATGAGTGCAGCAGGGGTGAGGTCTGGGGGTGCAGTAGGCCGGGGGCCCCCAGGTTCTGGGGTGACGCCTGTCTAGGCACTGGTGGTAGAGGGTGGCAGGTGCCATCAGGGGTTCCCATCAGCTCTGCAGCGGGGATGGGCAAAACAGGCTGGTCAGAGGGCCCCCGCCCAGGCAGGGTCAGGCCCCCACGGCGGGCGGTCTGGAGTCTCACCGAGCTCGGCCGCCTTCCGAGAGGCCTTCTCCTTTGGGTCCTCGGCTGCAAAGAGGGCAGGAGCAGGCATGAGCACATGGCTGCGGTCTGAACAAGACCCCACGCTCCCAGGATTCCAGACCGCGGTGCGTGTTAACCGACTCATGGCAGTCGCTGCATGTTAGGGGCAGGGAGGGCAGGGGCGCAGCTGTTCGGGACAGACACACGCCCAGGGCGAAGAGGAACGGCCAGTCACACCAACCGACAAGCTGCATTTACCCCACACGCGGCTGCCCCGCAGGCTTGTGGCTCCCGGGTGGAGGAACTCAGCTGCCCACAACCGAGAAGGGCCTGTGAGGGGCGTGGATGTCCTCATGCTGGGGCTTAGAGGGGGGCGGGGGGCCAGACCAGGCAAGGGAATGGGCAAGGACAGGCAAGCGGGCACAGGCGTGGTACTGGACACAGAGAACCCAACGCCACACACCTGCAGCATAGAACCCTCTTACCTGGTAAGCCTGGGTCGGAGGCTCGGTGGATTCGGGGTGGCAAGTGGAAGCGGCCATCAGGGAGGCCTGGGATGCCCCGGCGGGGCCTCTCAGGTGTCTGAAGGGACAGCAATGCCAAGTGCTTTGCAGAGTGACGGACCCAAGCCCACTGCAAACCATCCCCCGAGGAAGGCCCCATGGCTGCTGAGCCACCAGGAACGCGGTCAAGCAGGGAGCCCCCCGCCCGCCCAGAAGCACCATGGATACCGTGGTGATCTCGCTGGCTGCAGGTGCTGGAGGTGGGGGCGGGGGCTGGGGCACAGCCCCCTGAGGCCATTTGCGAACATCCTGTCCATAGCCCGGGGGCACCAGAACCTGCAGGCAGAGGGCAGGCAGGGAGTGAGGCGGGAGCAGAGCCCCACTGACAAGGACAACACGCCTGGGCAAGGCCACTGTGCCCACCCTTGCCTCGCTGGGGACAGGTGGCTCCAGTGGGAGCAGGACAGTGGCTGGGAAGACGTTGCCACCGGACACAGGCACTGCCACTCACGCACCTGCCCGTCGATGTAGGCGACCTCCCCGCGCAGGACCACGCGACGGACGGTGCCTTTCACCTTCTGCCCTTCAAACGGAGTCCAGTGGGCCTTGGAGAAGGGCATGTGGCTGGGGACCGTCCACTCATGCTCTAGATCCACCTGTCCAGGGGACACAGCGATGCTGGGGACGCCGCCGGGTGACAGTCCCCAGGGCTGGAACCCCTACCCCCTCCAGCCTCCCCCAGCTCCACGCAGCCGTCCTGGCCCCCTGCCCGCTCCAGCCTGCCCACCTCTACGTGGGCGTCCCGCCCCCAGCTGCACATGGGTCCCCCACCCCTCAGCTCCCATCTCCCATCGGTGTCCTGAGCCCCCCGGCCTCCCACCTCTATGTAGGTGTCCTCCTGGGGAGGCAGGTGGAAGATACGCCGGGGGTTGTGGTGCAGCCGCTGTAGCAGGTCGTCCAGGCTGAGCCGGCCCTCGCTCACTGCGGTCAGCAGCAGCGGCAGCATGGTCTCCAGCCCCGGGAAGCCGGGTGGGGGCCTGGGCCCACACTTCTCCTCCACGGTGTGCGGGGCTGGGAAGGACAGCACCCGGGCCCGTCACCTCCATGTCTGGGAAGGCCCACGCACCCGCCTCACAGCCTCTGGCCCACAACCACCCCAAGGCCTGTGCCTCCAGGGCACGGGCCTGCTGCCATCTCTGGGCCCGCACGCACCCACGGCCTCTTTCCCCGCCTGTTCGTCCTTCTGAGGGCTTATGAGCGCCTGCCAGACCAGGCGTGTGTGCAGGCTGGGCCCTCACAGGGACAGCTCTGCCCCCTTGGCGTTAGGGCCCTGGCCTGGCTCCTGTTTTTGTGCGGCGCTGCCCACGGCAGAGTTGGGCACAGCCCCACAAGGCAGGGGCACATGCAGGTTTCTCTCACCGTGGTCCGAGGCGAAGCAGTCGATGACAGCCATGTTGTCCCACAGGGCCTCCACGTCCTGGCGGGATCCCAGCTCAGGCCGGACCTCCCCCTTGCCGTGCCCCAGGCGTTCCAGGTCATCCTGGCTCAGGAACAGGTGGTGGGGTGCCACCTCACAGGTCACTGGCAGCCCCCGCGCCTTGGCAGCTTTGATCAGCAAGATCTGGGAAACAGGCAGTCAGAGAGGCCCTGCCCTGCCCTGCCACACTCTCCCGGCATCCCTGCTCGGAAAACGCCGAGGCAGACGTAAGCACTCCACCCTCAAGGCCACCCTGACTTCTGGTGCCACCGGCCAGGCGCCAGGACCTCCGGGCTCCCTCACCTCCTCCTTCCGAGCCACGTGACATATGTGCACCGAGTGCTGGGTCAGCTGGGCCACCATGAGGACGGCGGCCACGCTCTGCCGCTCAGCGTGGGCCACGATGGGGAGGTGGGACGGCCACGTCTCGAAGTGCTGGGAGTGGGAAGAACAGATGAGGGGTGTGCGGACCCTGCAACGGTCCTGCCCCTGGGTCTCCCACACCCTGACTGCTGCCAGCTTGCCTGGAAGGGTCCCCAAGCCAGGTAGCTGGGCAGACCCTCCCGGTGCCACCTACCTCCATCCACTGGGCCACACTGTCCAGCCGCAGCTCAGAGAAGGTCTCATTGAGGTACAGCTTTAATCCAGCCGCTGACCCAGCCACAGCACCCAGGGTCCCTGCGTTTTCAGAGGAGGCCCCAAGGAACAAGGCGAAGTCACAGAGAGCGCCAGCCTCTGCCAGCTGGGAGAACACAGAGGCAAAGCCTGGTGACACCTGTGCCCACAATGGCTAGCCTGGGCCCATAGGGGGCAGAGGGAAAGGGCTCAGGGCGGCCGGGGGCCCGTGGGTCTCCAACACCGGCAGGAAGAGGCAGAATCTCACCTTCTGGACCAGGGCCAGCGCAGGGGCGTCGGTGATAGGGGGCCGGGTGTTGGGCATGGCGCACACCATTGTGACACCCCCCGCCAGTGCAGCGGCAGTGCCCGAGGCAAAGTCTTCCTTGTGTGTCCCACCGGGTTCCCGCAGGTGCACATGGACATCAATCAACCCTGGGGACGTGGGCAGCAAGATCAGAGGAATATTCGGGAACGGGACGTCAGGGAGAGCCAGGGTGGCTGGGAAGCGGCGGCAGCCAACACAGGCAGAGGCAGCGAGGCTCCTTGTGGGGGTGCCCAGGAAGGAAGGACTCAGGGTGGGCGAAGAGGACTCTGGACCTCCATCTGCCCGGCCCACGCAGGTGCTCTGTGCCCATAGCCCAGCTCTCCTGAGGATGCACTCACCGGGCAGCCGCACGAGCTTCTGGGAGGTCATGCAGTCCACGTGCACCTTCAGCGGAGGGGCCGGCCCAATCTGGCCCAGGGCCTGCAGGTGGGAGGCACGTCAGCTCCGACTCAGGGAAGAGTGGTCCTAGGGGCTACAGGCAGAGGCCCCACGCTCCACACCCATCTGGGATCCCCCGCAGCCGCAAGGCTCTCCCGCACGGCTGCCCTGGTCACCGCCCCTCCCGCCAGCAGCACTGGCCACTACCTCCACAAAGAGCTTGGTGCACTTGATGTCGATGATGAGAGGCACAGAGAAGTCAGCGGCCAGGCGCCGTGTGCGGTAGCCCTTGGTGACAAAGGAAGAGAGCCGCCGGCCTCCAGCCCCACGCATGGAAAGGTTGATCACCAGCTCGAAGTGGTTCTCGGCCAGCTGCTCCAGGATGCTGCGCTGCGGCGGGCACTCCCCATCCACGGCCTCCTCAAAGTGCCAGTCCACGGCCGTCACCTGCCAACCCGGGTCACGGTCAGGCCCGGCTCAGCCCAGCAGGGGCGGGAAGGCCGGCCTGATAGAGGGGAGCTGGCCTGGAGTCTTTGACGAGGAGATGAGGACCCCCAAGGTGGGGACCCGGACCACCTACGTGCCACAGGCAACGTGTTTCATTCTTTTTTTAATTTGAGTTGGAGTCTCACTCTGTCACCCAGACTGGAGTGCAGTGGCCGCTCCCGACCACCGCAGCCTCGACCTGCTGGGCTCCAGCGATCCTTCCGCCTCAGCCTTCCGAGTAGCTGGAACTACAGGCGCGCGCTACCATGCCTGGCTGATTTTTTGATTTATTGTAGAGATGAGGTCTCCCTGCCCAGGCGGGTCTCGAACCCGCGGGCTCAGGCAATCCACTCACCTCAGCCTCCCAAAGGCGTGGGATTACAGGCTGAGCTACTGAGCCCGGGAGGCAACGTGTTTCTTGACAAGAGGTGCCAGACTACGTGAAATGAGGCAGGTCACCAGAAGCCCAAGCCGCATGTACACACCACACACAATTCCGGCAGGAAAAGCGCCTGATGAGGGCGGCAGCAGGGAGATACCCCAGTCTTTTCTGAGTTTTCTTTTTCATACGCGGAGCCCTCAGTATCATGTGACAGTAAGAGCAAGCCACGCCCTCCGCCTAGGAAAGGCCTACCTTGACACCATGCTCAGTGTAGAAGTCGGCGGTGCCCAGGCTGGCGTAGAGGCTGTAGCCAAGGCTCTCCAGCAGCCGCACGGTCGGGAGCAACTCACTCTTGTTCTGGAAACAAGCAGTGGGAGGGGGCTCACCAAGGTCAGCCTCGCCTGGGATGAACCCCGGTGGCCTCCCAGGACCCCAAGGTCAGCCTGGCTCCGAGCCGAGCCCCTGGTGGCCTCCCTGGGCCCCAAGGTCAGCCCGGTCCTGAGCTAAGCCCCCAGTGGCCTCCCTGGACCCCAAGGTCAGCCCCAACCCGAGCTGAATCTCTGGTGGCCTTCCTGGACCCCAAGGTCAGCCTGGCACTGAGATAAGTCCTCAGTGGCCTTCCTGAATCCCAAGGTCAGCCTGGTGCTGAACCAAGCCCCTGATGTCCTCCCTGGATCCCAAGGTCAGCTGGGCCCCAAGCCGAGCCTCCCAGGACCGCAAGGTCAGCCTGACCCCAAGCTAAACCCTGGTGGCCTCCCTGGACCCCAAGGTCAGCTTGCCCTAAGCCAAGCTCCACTGGCCTCCCTGGATGCTAGTACCTTGTAGCTGCCAATGGTCAGCAGAATGTTCTTCTTGGGAATCTTGAAGCCGGTGCTGAGCATGGCCTTGAGATAGGCCTCGCAGCGGCTCTCCCCAAAGCCGGCCACCTCCCCGGTGCTGGTCATCTCCACACCCAGCACCACATCAGCACCCGCCAAGCGGGAGAAGGAGAACTGCGGCACCTGAGGGAGCAGGACGGAAGACGGCCAGCTCGAGGGGACCCTCCCCTCAGATGAGGGAACCAGGGCTGCCCCAAGGCCCTGCTGCAGCCTGCATGCCTGGGTCTCCTGCAGCTCTGCTCAGGCTGTGTCTGGCCCCACGTGCTACAGACCAAAGCCTGGCAGTCCCTCAAGCCTCGCCTCCACACACGCCCTCAGCCTTCCTGGCTTGCCGTGCGGGAGGCGGCATCTCCTATCTCTAAACTCCCATGGCATTCTGCTCGTATCGCAGTAAGTAGTTCTGTCCCAGGCTGTTACTAACAGAGCTGTTTGTGGAAACTCCTCTTGCTCCCAGGACCAGAGTGCAAGTGGCTAAGGGATGGGGCCACCTCGTCTCCCTCCAAGCTGGCAGTGCCGTGCGGCAGTGCCCAGGTCACATGCCGACGCTTGCTCTGCGGGGAGTGCCGTTTTCTCAGCCATCCCAGGTGCCCTCCTCACCTTCACCCCCACAACGCCAGAGCCAGTCATGAGCCCCACGGGCTCCACCTCTTCCCCCATGATGACGCGGGTGGCCACGGCCACGAGGTCCACGCCCAGGGTCTTGGAGACGAAGGGGAAGGAGCGAGAGACGCGCACGTTGCACTCGATGACCTTCAGCTGGTCGTCCTGGCCGAGAAGGGCGGGTCAGGCCTCGCCGGGTGGCCCCGCCTGACCCTGGCACCAGTCTGCAGGTGACAGTCTGGCAGGGTTCGAGGCGACTGTCCCACACCCTGCCCCACGGTGGCTCCAGCTACCCTCCCTCCAGCATCCCTGCCACTCGGGTGGGGCGGGTTGGTGTAGGGCCCCACGGCCTGGTGGCACCGCAGTTCCTGGGGGAGCTACGGCCCTAGGCCCTCCCCTGCAACCTTGTTACCTTGGCGATGAGCTGCAGGTTGAAGGGGCCCGTAACCTGCAGCTCCTGGCCCACAGCATGCACGATGGCTTTGATCCGCTCCAGGGTCTTGGCAGTGATGTCTTGAGGGGGCGTCACCAGCGTGGCATCGCCCGAGTGTACGCCCGCGTTCTCCACATGCTCAGAGATGGCAATGGCAGCCACCACACCATCGCAGGCCACAGCGTCCACATCAATCTCCTGGTGGGGGCCACAGGCCAAGTGATGTAGGGCAAGGGCCCTTTTGCGTATGGCCCCCGCCTTCTCAGCCCACCGTGCCCACGACCTGCAGGGCTGGGGGTCTCCTCCGGGGCCAGGCGCACCCTCAGGGACCTGCCTGTGCCTCCCACCTTGGCTTCTTGGATGAACTTGGAGATAACCACGGGGTGCTCCTTGGACACGGCAGCCGCACTGCTCAGGAAGCGCTCCAGGTCCCCGTCGGTGTAGGCCACGTTCATGGCCGCACCGCTCAGCACGTAGGAGGGGCGCACTACGCAGGGGTAGCCCACGGCCTGGCAGAACTGGCGCGCCGACTGCAAGGACAGGCACTCAGCGGGGCTCACGGCACACCCCTCCGCAGGCCCCCCCCCGGTGACCCCCCCTCATGGGTCAGCCACAGGCCCAGCCCACCTACCTCCAGGTCGCTGAGCTCGCGCCACTGCGGCTGGCTGATCCCGATGGTGTCGAGGAGCCGCGAGAACTTGAAGCGGTTCTCGGCCGAGTCGATGGCTTCCGGGGAGGTGCCCAGCACCCGGCACTGCTGCCGGTGCAGGGCCATGGCCATGTTGTTGGGCAGCTGCCCACCCATGGACAGGATCACACCCTCGGGGCTCTCCAGCTCGTAGATGTCCATCACCACCTGCCGCAAGGGAGACGGCTACAACCGAAGGGCCGGACCAAGGCACCTGCTCACAGCTCGCCCACCCCCCTGATCCAGGGCCCTTGAGTCACTGGCCCATCCGGCTGGACCCTGTCGCCTGTGGCCCTCACCTCAAAAGAGATCTCATCAAAGTAAAGCCGGTCACACATGTCGTAGTCGGTGCTGACGGTCTCCGGGTTGTAGTTCACCATGATGGTCTTGTAGCCCATCTGTAAGACGGAGGGGGCCAGTGGGCAGCCATCAAGTGGGAGATTCCCGTGGAGACATGAAGCCTGAGCAGGATGCCCGCCCAGGGAGGGAGGGTGCATGGTGCTGGACTCACGCACCATGGTGTGCAAGAGGTAGCCCCAGAGGGCCCCACCTGAAGCCCTGGGACAAAAGGAAGGGGCAGCATGGGCCACCGCCAGAGTGGGACAGACAGCAGGGAAGCAGGGAGAGATGAGCGCAGACCTTCCGAAGCTGCTGGATGCAGCCCACGGCGCACCAGTCGAATTCCACGCTGGAGCCAATGCGGTAGACGCCGGAGCCCAGAACCAGGACGTGGGGCGTCCGGAAGCCGAGGTCGTGCGTGGTGCCCCAGTACGTCAGATACAGGTAGTTGGTCTGGGCAGGCCACTCGGCGGCCACCGTGTCAATCTGCTTGACGGCCGGGCAGATGCCCAGCTCCTGCCGCAGCTTGCGAACAGCCAGCTCTGTGCTGTGGGGGGCGGGACGGAGATATAGGCCCAGGGAGCGGCAGCGGGCCAGACCCCAGGGCTGGGGCTTGAGCAGAAGACCCCAGGGACGAAGGCTCCAGCCTCCACAGCTGACTGCCTCCCTCCCTCCCTACTAAGGGCTCCACTCTGCCCGCCCCAGCCCTGGCCACTGCCTCTGACCTCAGAACTGCGAGGGCGATCTGCTTGTCTGAGAAGCCCAGGCACTTGGCCTGGTGCAGCAGGTCTGGCGGCAGAGGCTGCCCGCGGTGCTGCTCCAGCAGCTGGGCGTGCACTATGATGCGCTTCATGCGGTGCAGGAACCAGCGGTCGATGCGCGTGAGCTCGTACAGACGGTCAACCGAGTACCCGGCCCACAGGGCCGCTGCCACCACAAAGATGCGCTTGTCTGTGGGCGTCTCCAACTCCTAGCCAGGACAGGGCAGATGGAGGTAAACAGAAGGACCGCGCCGAGGCAGACCTCAGCACGTTGGGCAAAGGCCCTCCTGGCCTACCACTGGCATCTCCACGCCCCAGAGCTCGCGTGGCTGCCGCTGGGCTGGGAAAGGGAGACTGTACCCAGAGCATAGGCTCCACAAGCACCCAGCCAGGACTCGAAGCCTGGCTCTGCCCCTGCTGGCTGTGTGGCTTTCAGCGGTGTCACTAGACTCGGCTTCCTCACCATAAAAACAAACCTAGCTGGGCATGATGGCTCATGCCTGTAACCACAGCACTTTGGGAGGCTGAGGCGAGAGAACTACCTGAGTCCAGGGGGTTTTAAACTAGCCTAGGCGATTTGGCAAGACCTTGTCTCTACAATAAATCAAAAACTAGCCAGGCGTGATAGTGCATGCCTGTATTTCTGGCTACTTGGAAGACTGAGGCAGAAGGGTTGTCTGAGTCCTGCAGGTTGATGCTGGGGTGGCCGTGAGCATGCCCTACTGCCCTCCAGCCTGGGCAACAGAGTGAGACTCCATCTCAAAAAGAAAAAAATTCCGCCAGGCTCGGTGGCTCAGCCTGTAATCCCGGGCCTTTGGGAGGCTGAGGTGAGTGGATTGCCTGAGCCCGCGGGTTCAAGAACCGCCTGGGCAGTGAGACCTCATCTCTACAATAAATCAAAAAGTCAGCTGGGTGGGATAGCGCACGCCTGTAGTTCCAGCTACTTGGAAAGCTGAGGCAGAAGGATCACCGGAGCCCAGCACGTCGAGGCTGCGGTGGCCGGAAGCGGCCACTGCACTCCACTCTGGGCGACAGAGTGAGACTCAAATTCAAACTCAAACAAAAAAATCCAATGACTGCTGCTAGTGTTGCTGGTGAGACGCCATGGCTGGTGTAGAGAAGGAGGCCTGTTTCAGGGGCTGCTTACCATGTCGCTAACTGGCTTCACCGTGTGGTCAAAGCCCACACAGTTCTCATCCACCATGCGCAGGGCCTTTTGGAAGGCCTCCTCAAACGAACGCCCAATGCCCATGACTTCACCTGGAGGAAAGGGAGAAAGGGACTGAGGGCTGGGAGAAGACACTGCCCACAGTGCCTGTGGTTCACAGCCTAGGCTCTGCCGGCAAGATTCCTGGTGTCTCTATCAAGAAATCACAGCTCACGGCTCCTCCCCACCATTTCCACAGGTGAGCGCAGGTTCTGTGCTTATTAGTGAATGTGGAATCTGCAGGGTGGCCCAGCACCGAAGGCTGTCCAGCCATCTGGCCTGCTTCACCCATGCTGTGACGCCACCATCTGGAACCCATCTCAGTCCTTAGAACTTTAAAGATGTCTGGATGACAGGAAGATGGTCCCACTACCCTGAATCCATCCAAAGTCAATCACCTTTATAACAATCATTTTAAGGGTTTTTCTCCCTGAACTTTTCCCACAGGTATGTCTTATATGTGATCATGGTATAAACCTAATTTACTTATACGCACGTCCCCACGTTGCTGTGACCCTGTAAACACCAGATTAATTCCTGTGTGATTTACTATAATTTAGCTGTCAACTTACGAAAGGACATTTAGCTTTTAAGCATTGGTCACTGTGAGGCTGTGATGTTTTCTGTTTTGAATGATCTCCTTAGGGTGAACTTCCAGAAGTGCAGGAGCAATAGGTAAGATACAGTTATGGCCCTTGACAAGTACTAATTGCTTCACAGAAGTTTGAAGAAGTATAAATTTAACCAACTTCCTAAGTAGGCAAAATCATCTTAGATGGTTTTTGCTAATAAGCAAAAATGAGCTGGGCTCGGTGGCTCAGCCTGTAATCCCGTGCCTTTGGGAGGCTGAGGTGAGTGGACTGCCTGAGCCCGCGGGTTCGAGACCCGCCTGGGCAGCAAGACCTCATCTCTACAATAAATCCAAAAAAAAAGAAATCAGCCGGGCGTGGTAATGCATGCCTGTAATTCCGGCTACTCGGAAGGCTGAGGCGGAAGGATCGCTGGAGCCCAGTGGGTCGAGGCTGCGGTAGCCAGGAGCGGCCACTGTACTCCAGTCTGGGTGACAGAGTGAGACTCCAACTCAAGACAAAATAAGCAAAAATGGTGTCTCCTTTTAACTAGAATTCTATTTACTAAAGAGGAGAAACTCCTTTCCCCATGTTTGCTTACTGATTTCCTCCTCCTCTGTAAAGCTTTGTTCACGTTCTCTGACCACATATGCTAAGAGCTCCAAGTATTTCTTGCCAATGGTATTTCCTTATTTATAATCCTAGCATTTCCACTTCTTTAAAAAGCTTTTAAAACACCACAATGCTGATAGTAGTATTAAGGAAGTGGATGGATCATGAGTGATTTTCTTTTCTTGTTTCTGAGTCAGAGTCTCACTCTTTCACCCAGGCTGGAGTGCAGGGGCACGCTTACAGCCATTGCAGCCTGGACCTGCTGGGTTCAGGTGATCCTCCTGCCTCAGCCTGGAACCACAGGTGTAAGCCACCCCTAATTTTTGATTTACTGTAGAGACGAAGTCTCACCAAGTTGCCCTGGCCAGTCTCAAACCTGTGCACTCAGGCAATCCTCTTACCTCAGCCTTCCAAAGTGCTGAAATTACAGATGTGAGCCACCACGCCCAGCTCTTTTCTTTTTTGTATTATTTGTGTCTTATTTGTATGATAAAAGTTACAAGAAGTTACCAGAGATTGCATTCCAAAAATGTACGAATAGATATAAACATTCCAGTGTCTCATGTAGGTATTGATCTTTGTCCTATTTTTAGTCACTTCTTTTAGCCACATTTTAATTATGGCTTCATTCCCATGTTTATTCTGATTTTCACATAACAGAAATACATCTCCAGAAGGAAAAAATTGGCAGTCTTGTAGGATTTCTAAAAATTCTAAAATAATATCTGAGCTTAGACTTGTTTACAGGCTACTACTGGCTGGGCGGCGTGGGAACTCTGGGCACTCTGGGAAGCAAGACGACTGCCTGAGCCTAGGGGTTCAAGACCAGCCTGGGCAACATGGCGAGACCTGGTCTCTACAATGAATCAAAAAATTAGCTGGCATGAGCCTGTAGTTCCAGCTCCTTGGAAGGCTGAGGTGGAAGGATCACCGGAGCCCAGCAGGTCGAGGCTACGGTGGCCGAGAGCATGCCACTGCACTCCACCCTGGGCAACAGAGACTCCAACTCAATCAATGAATACACAAAGGCTACTACTGCTCTAAACAGAAACCTAGTGCATGATGAGGTGCTCTCTTCCGTTAAGCAGGTGGCACTTTGGTACGTGTGCATTCTCGCTGTGGTTGAGATGTCTCAGGGAGCAGTCTAAGGCAACTGAAGGGACCAAACCAAGAAGCGTATTAGACCAGGTGTGGTAGCTCATGCCTTTCATCCCAGCGTGCTGAGAGGCTAAAGTGGGAGGACTACTTGAGGTTAGGAGTTCAAGACCAGCCTAGGCAACACAGTGAGACCCTGTCTCTACATAAAAATTTAAAATTAGGCCGGGTGCAGTGGCTCATGCCCCTCTTCCCAGCACTTTGGGATGCTGAGGTGGGAGGATTGCTTGGGCCCAGGAGTTCAAGACCAGCCTGGGCAACACAGCAAGAACTCATCTCCACAATCAATCAATCAGCCAAGTGTAGTGGCACATGCCTGTAGTCCCATTATCGGGAGGCTGAGGCTGAAGGATCGCCTGAGTCCAGGAGGTTGAGGCTCTGGTGAGCCATGATTGTGCCACTGCCCTCCAGCCAGGGGGACAGAGTGAGACTCCAACTCAAAATAAATTTTTTTTAAAGTAGCTGGACATGAAAGCTCAGGCCTTCAGTCCCAGCTACTCAGGAGACAGAGGAAGGAGGGTCACCCGAGCCTAGGAGATCAAGGCTACAGTGAGCTATGACTGTGCCATCACACTCCAGCCTGGGCAACAGTGTGAGATCTTGTCTCCAAAAAAAAATTAAACCACATTAACTCAAGTTCAACATGCTTTATCACTGCTTTGTGGGTCACTGCTACACCTGTCCATTGTTCACTAGTATCCTTGTTATCAAAAAGGTCTCTGATGTCCTGCTCTGGTCTAAACTTCAAGCCAGGAAATGTTTCATTTCATTGAGTGACTGAGTCGGAAAGGGCCACTGGAGGCAGTACGCCAAGACTGGCTGTCACCCTGCTCAGTGGGATTTAGAAGGGATCACAGGAAACTGCAGTCACGGTTCCTGAGTTCTGTATTTACACTAACAGTGAAGAAAATGTCACTGGCATCGACAGCCTGTAATGAAGCCACAAGCAAAAGGCCACAAGGGTGAGTTCCATGGACCTGGCCTCCCACAGGGCAGGCGACACGGAGGAACAGAGGCCACGCAGATGGGGACGGGCCGGCTTTCAGTTGTGGTCCCTCGGCCCTGTCAGTCTCCTCCAGTGGCACCTCAGTCACTCCTTGTAGAAGACGGGACGGCCTGCTGGCCGTGTCCCCCACCACACTCTACCCCAGACTTCCCAGTGACCGCCTCCCCCGGCAGGGACGCCACCCACCCCAATCTGAAAGGGTTCTCCTGGCTCCTGGAAACCACGCTCCGAGCAGTGAAAAGCCAGGCCAGGAGCTCTGATGCTCGGGACTCCCAGTCCCGGGAAGCCCATGGGCCGAGAGCGTGTGCCCTCACCAACACTCTTCATGCAGCTCCCGATCTTTGTGCTGACGCGCAGGAACTTGCTGAGGTCCCAGCGAGGAATCTTCACCACGCAGTAGTCCAGGCTGGGCTCAAAGGCGGCTGTGCCCCCTGTCACCGAGTTCCTGGGAGCCAGCAGGTAGGAGTGCCAGGAAGGAGGGCGGGGGCAGAGGGTGAGCTTCCAGATGGCTCTCCTGTCCCCTTAAGCCCTGCCAGCACCCTTTCCGAGTTCCCATCCCTGAGTGTTTTCTTCCCAGTGTGATTTCTTCCACATGCTCGTACCTAAGCTCAGGCAAGGGGATGCCCAGGGCCAGCTTGGCTGCCACGTAGGCCAGGGGATAGCCTGTGGCCTTACTGGCCAGAGCGGAGCTGCGAGACAGCCTGGCATTCACCTCAATGATGTAATACTGCAGAGAGAGAGGAAGACTCACCAAACGCCTGGCCCCGAAGCCCCGTTTCCGAGTTCTCAGAAGACAGTCATCAGCCCTCCCCACAGGCCCAGGCAGAAGGGCCCACCCAAAGCCCAGCCCAGCAATGAGGACCCCAGCTTCTAGTCCAAGTCTGCAAAAGGCCCCTTGACCTTAAGGCCTAAGAAGCAATGGGAGGAGAGAGCAGCTATAACACCTGCTCCAGGAGCAGGGCCTCACCTGCTCAGACTCGGGGTTCAAGGCATACTGCACGTTGCACTCCCCGACGATGCCAAGGTGCTGGGTCACCTTGATGGCCGTCTGCCGCAGCAGCTGGTACTCCCTGTCGTTCAGCGTCTGGCTTGGAGCCACCACGATGGACTCCCCAGTGTGGATGCCCAGGGGGTCCAAGTTCTCCATGTTGCACACCTGTGAAGGGGGCTCTGGGGCGGTCACTGCCAGAGGCACTGGGAGAGGCAGGAGGCTCCCCCCGGAGTCTGTCACCCAGGACTGCACTCAACCTGGGTCTGGGGACACAGAGCCCTGAGACCCCAGCTTGGGTCTCTGAACCCCCGGGAGTTCGTGCTGCCTGGCAGCCCCCACTCACCGTGACACAGTTGCCGTAGGCGTCCCTCACCACCTCGTACTCAATCTCCTTCCACCCCTTCAGGGACTTGTCCACCAGCACTTGGCTGGTATGGGCGAAGGCCGGGGCCACCAGAGCAGAGAGCTCCTCCCTACTGGAGGCAAAGCCTGAGCCCAGGCCGCCCAGGGCAAAGGCCGCCCGCACCAGTACAGGGTACCCAAGTCGCTCGGCGGCTGCCTGGGCCTGCGACACACGGAGGAAACGGAAAGCCAGGTCACCCCCAGCTGCCCGGAGACAGCAGATGTGCAGGCAAGGGCAGCCCCCAGCCTCACCCGGCCACCCTTCGGACCTGCTCCAGAGAACTGGCCGCCTCACTGGGGGCCACGTGCTCTCCGATCTCTGCCATCCTGGCAGCAAAAGCGCGCCGGTCCTCCGTGAGCTCGATGGTCTCCACGGGGGTGCCCAGGACCCGCACACCATAGCGGGCCAGCACCCCGGCCTTGGTCAGTTCCACGCCACAGTTCAGAGCAGTCTGGCCCCCGAAAGTCAGCAACACCCCATCTGGGCGTTCGTTCCGTATTACCTGTGGAGCGAGGAGGCGTCACAGGTGCCGAGGACTTGGGGAAGAGAGTGGGCAAGGAGGCCCAGACGGCCAGAGCGACCCTGGACCCTGCCCATCCGTGGTCCCATCAGGGCAGCCTGGCCCCAGTTGTACCTGGGTCACGTAGTGAGGTGTGATGGGGAGGAAGTAGACCTTGTCCGCCAGTCCCTGTGAGGTCTGCACCGTGGCGATGTTGGGGTTGATCAGCAGCGTCTGTATGTTCTCCTCCTTGAGGGCCTTAATCGCCTGAAGAACGGAATGGCGCTTCAGCCCCCACAGCAGGGCGAGGCGCAGACAGCCGGGAACCGGCGGCCCCGACTCTCGACCGGCAGCTGGCTTCTGTTCCTCCCGCTTTACCTCCCCGTTCATCCGCAGACCTGCGGGGCCACCTCCTCCCTACGCAGGGCTCTCCCCTCTGCCCTCCCATAAGGCTCCACCCCTTCCCGAGGGCCACCCCCTCAGGGAGGGACCAGCATGAGGACCTGAGAGCCAGAGTAGTCGAACTCGCCAGCCTGGCCAATGGAGAGGCCCCCTGAGCCCAGAATCAGCACCTTCCGTGGTGGCGGGGGCCCGGAGCCAGGGGTGGGAGTCCCGGGCGGACAGAGGCGCTCAGTCAGCCGCTCGCGCACTGCAGAAACAAGTCAGAGCGTGAGAGCAGGACCTCGCCCTTGCTTCCAAGAGTCGAGGCAAAGCACACACCTGCAAGTGCAGAGGAAAGGTGGAACCCAGACCCGTGCCCAGGTTCTTGCCCACAGACGTGGTGCCCACTGCCTTGACCCTTAGTGCGACCCCATGGGGCACACCCATCTCACGCCCACCCAGGAGCCACAGCCCAGCACCACTCAGGGGCTCACCTGTCTGGCCGCCGGGGTTCCCAGCTATGGCCTCTTTCACAGTGTCCAGAAAGACATCAAAAAGGAGCTCCATGTCTGAAGGGCCAGCCTGGTGCTCTGGGTGGAACTGGACGCTGTGGGGCAGATTGGAGCACGAGCCCGCTGTGGCCGCTGGACGACACCGGCGGCTCTGGAGGCGGGCCAGGGGATGGAGGACACAGGGCCAACCCGCTCTTCCCTTCCCACCCACAGGCCCGTGGGGCTCTCAGCTGCACGGACCCACCCACCCCCGCCCGCGCCACCCAGGCTCACCTGAAGAAGGGCAGGCTGTGGTGCACAAGACCCTCGTTGGAACCGTCATTGGCGTTGGTGAAGAGAGGAGCCCAGCCCGCCGGCAGGGAGTCGGTCTCCACCGCAAACCCATGGTTCTGCGATGTCAGGAAGCAGCGCCCTGAGCCCACCAGCAGACAGGGCTGGTTGTGGCCACGGTTCCCATACCTGGAAACAGATACCTCATGGCGTGGCCTCCCCTCCCACGGCACTGCCCGCCAGCCCTGCTCCTACTCCAACGCCATCGACACCAGCTCCGCCCCTCCCACGACACCCGCCCCGCCCCTCCCACGACACCCGCCCCTCGCACCACAAGCGTGGGCCCACCTCATCTTGTACGTCTTGGCCCCGATAGCTAAGGCCAGCAGCTGGTGTCCCAGGCAGATCCCGAAGACAGGCCGGGGATTAGGCTCAGACAAGACACGGCTCAGCATTGACACAACGTGGGGGTAGGAGGCAGGGTCACCAGGGCCGTTACTCAGGAAGAGACCCTCGTACTCTGGATGGGCAGAAAGGTGATGTCAGCACCAGCAGTTCGCTAGAAGACACACCTGGAGCCCTTCCGGGGACAGCACCAAGCTCTGATCGCTATCTTCATCATGGCGCTCACATGAACTGCTGGCAAACGGACAGAGGGATATGTCCTCCAGCCCAACTGTCTGAGGCTCCAGGAAGGCCCCCGCTACTCACCCTGGCTGTCGAATGCATGGTCCCAGGGCACCACCGTGACCTCAGCCCCACGCTGGCACAGACAGCGGATCTGGTTGTACTTGAGGCCACAGTCCAAAGCCAGGATCCGAGGGGCACCCCCTGCATTGAACACCCGTGGGGTCTGTGCAAGAGGCGTAAGGGGCGATGGTGGGCAGCTGGCTCGTGGTGCAGGTTACATCCTCCCCAACACCGCCTCCGGCCCCTGCATCCCATGCGTCTACCTGGGTGCAAGCAGAGCACAACTACAGCACTAGCAACTCTCCCTCTCTACCTTGATGGAGACCTCTGGCACCAGGGGGCGCGCATTGGGGTCCAGGAACGGCAGGGAGGAGGGCTCTGTCCCCTTCTGGACCAGCTTCCCCAGCAGAGAGCCCTGTTCCCGCAACTTCTTGGTCAGCTCACGAGTGTCCACTCCTGTCAAGACAGCATGGCCTCCAAGGTCACACACCCCCAACCCAGTCAGTGAGGTCAGACTTCCTGAAGCACTTCCAATCCAGAGCCCTGAGTGACACACAGCCCGTTCTATGGGCATCAAAACCCTGAGTCATCCTCATGGAAGTATACTACCACAAGGTGTTCTTGCCAAAACGACCACCCCTCAGCTGAACCCCAGCTTGAATTTATTTACAGAAAATGACATCAAAAGAAAAGAACACACTCGATGACACCACAAGAACATAGCTGTGCCGGGCGTGGTAGCGCATGCCTGTAATTCCGGCTACTTGGAAGGCTGAGGAGGAAGGATTGCCAGAGCCCAGCAGGTCGAGGCTGTGGTAGCCAGGAGCGGCCACTGCACTCCAGTCTGGGCGACAGAGTAAGACTCCAACTCAAAAAAAAAAGAACATAGCTGCCGCAATGCAGACTTAGGTCTTCTAAGGAAAGACAACCCGTTTTGGTCAAGTAGGTTACAGGGTCCTTAGACTACACTGAAGGACACACTAACCAAATGTAACACGTGAACCTTGTTTGGAGCCTGATTCAAATAAACAAACAGTAAGAAAAATGTAGGTAATTGGGGAAATCGTTAAACATTGCCTGGACATTTGATATTAAAGCATTACCAACTTTTTAGAGATATGATAATGCCACAGTGCTTATGTTTTTTAAAAAAAGACTCATTTTTCATAGCTATTGAACCATTTGTGGATTTGCTTCAGGATAACCTAGGGGAAGTGATGGTGGTCGTGAGATAAGATGAGCCCCAAGGTAACGATACTATTTCCTTGCTGCAGTGAAAGTTTTCTATCCAAGCAGCTCGGCTCTTCCCCCCAGCCCCAGATGCCAATCTGGCCCCAGAGCCTGCCCTCCCCTCCCACTGGGCGTGCAGCGTGCACCACCCTACCTTGCAGACCAGGGATGCCATGCTGCTGCAGCCACGCGTGAAGGGTCTGGGTGGCACTCCAGTGGCTGGGCGTGGGGCAGCACTCTCCCACCACCAGTCCTGCCACGTGGATCCCCGAGGATTCAAACCACTGCGGATGGAAGGAGACCGTGAGAAGCCCAGGGCCACAGACTCGCCACGGCACTTTTGTTCCACTGTGTGGCCAAACACGGTATGCTCAGCCACAACGAACAACCTGTCACTCCTTCAACACACGAAGCATTTGTGACAATAGTTCCCTTAACCAACAACACCGTCCCCCATGTGAAACACTGAACACACGGGCCTGGGGTGCAGGGCTGGTAACGGAAAGCGGTCACAAATCCCCCCTTTTCTGTGACGCCACCCACACACACCTAAAGTACCTTATGCCTGCCCCTAGAGCTCATCAAACGCTTTATTTCCACTTCTCGCTTGCTAGTCACACTGTATTACGAATATGCATTTGTGTCTTTGTGAACTCAAGAGCAAGGCACATGGCACCAGTCAACAGATGTCTCCCACACCGCACGGTAGAGGTGCAGGCCTCTCGACGCTAGGGAAGAGGCAGGGAGCAGGAAAGATGGGATCCCTGTCTTCACCATGTTCCTTTTTTACTTAGGGAGCCAGAAAACAAGGTAACAGGCAAATACGCAAGGCAGCGATTAAGAACAGAGTGACAACTGGGCTCGGTGGCTCAGCCTGTAATCTCTCGCCTTGGGAGGCTGAGGTGAGTGGACTGCCTGAGCCCATGGGTTTGAGACCCACCTGGGCAACTTGGCAAGCCCTCATCTCTACAATAAATCAAAAA